GTAAATGGCGTTTCCGTGCGCTGCTCTGGTTCGCCAGAAGTGGCTTAGTCATGCTGGCGACATGACCCAGAAGCTGTACACCAGCTCCCTCGGCCAATAAAGATGAACACCGCAACCCCAGAGTCATCTGCGGCCGGACCTAATGGTCAGGGGTCCCTTTACCTTTGCCTTCTGCATGCAGAGCAGATGTTCTAATCACTAGGCTATGAGTAGTTCATTGGGCACTAATAAAAAGGCACCAATGAAGGTCGCCAGCACCACCTGCCCACCTGATTGCTTCCCATACTACTGATTTGGCATGCAATAGGAAGTTCAGGAAGTTCTGCTGGGAAAGGCATCCTTCCAAATGGAATCACTTCTGAGTAATTCACTTCCGAACAGCGTAGATCAAGAAGAGGTTTTGCCAAAGGCCAGATTTTATAGTAGTCAAAATAACTGACATTCTGGGGGGTCTCCAGCATATTATATTCCTCCATTTCAGGGGGTTGGACTAGACCAGGCATGGCCAAACTTGGCCCTCCAGATGTTTTGGGACCACAACTCCCATCATCCCTAGCTAACAGGACCAGTGGTCAGGGATCATGGGAATAGTAATCTCAAAACATCTGGAGGGCCAAGTTTGGCCATGCCTGGAACAGGCGATCCTCAGGTTCCCTTCCAACACCACAGTTCTATGGTTATATCTTTGAAGAAGCGCTGATAAGCAGAGCCTAGGTGTTTCTGCACTTGTTTTGAATTAGCTCAGTAAATGGAATGTTTTGGAAAGTCTGGTGGAGGAAGCTTGCTCCACTTGTGATCCTCACCCAACCCCAATAACGCCTCCTTTCACCTTATGCAACCGCTAAGCTCCCTTTTCATCTTCCAAACCCGCTTCTCTCTTTGATTCTGCCGTCCCTTGGGCCCCAGCCAATATGGCCAGTGATCAGGAATTATGGGAGCTGTAGTTCAGCAATAGGGTATATTGGGTGTTAGGGGAGGGGAAAGTACCTCTGATGGGGACACATCATGCTCCTTCAGAGGTAGTTTGTCCACCTTTGATCCCACCCTGCGCTCGGCTCTCACCTGTGGCTCCTAGAAGCTGTTGGCAGGTAACAGTGGCCACACCCCAGGAAACGGTTTTGACTGACCAGCTAAACCAGGTGAGGGTAGCCGATGGGTCTCAAACCCTCAGTGTGTTAGGGATTTCCCCTGCATGCAAAGATAGAATTGAACAGATGAAACTAATAATAATAATAATAATAATAATAATAATAATAATAATAATAATAAAATTAATTTATACCCTGCCCTCCCCAGCCAAGACCGGGCTCAGGGCGACTGACACCAGGTATAAAAACAATTGATTAAAATACAACTTAAAAACAAGATTAAAAGACAACATTAAAATGCAGCCTCATTTCAGTAGAAACTTAAATCAAAAACTTTTTGGGGATGAAAACGTCAAATCTTCACCAAGGCCAACTATCCAGACTGGTCCTACATGGGCCAGAAAAAAGCCAGGGAAGTCCCCAAATAGGAGTTCCATCACAGAAGGAGAAAGGAAAGAGGGGAAGGGGATCAAGTTGATTCCAAGCCAAAGGCCAGGCGGAACAACTCTGTCTTACAGGCCCTGCGGAAAGAAATCAGATCCTCATGAGACAGAACATTCCACCAGGCCGGAGCCAGTGTTGAAAAGGCCCTGGCCCTGGTTGAGGCTAATCTGACTTCCTTAGGTCCTGGGACCTCTAGAGTGTTGCTATTTATGGACCTATAATAGTGGATCCAATGGTCAAGAAGGTGGTTTCTGCACGTGCTGTAGTGAGGGCAGATTGGGCTTGTCCGCCTGGGAAGGTAGGCCATCTAGGAGAAGAAGAACTCTGATCCTAAAATGGGACATCTTCAGGAGCAGAAGAGGCTCAGGAGTAAACCCTACACAAATTTGGAGCGGATTCCCTAAGACAGTTGGGTGGCACCTTGTATGCCTCCTTCTGGCAACTCCTGCAGCCAAGCTGATGCCAAATGCATTGCTCTGCTTTCCTTTGGGCTAAATCAGCAAGGCCGAGAGGGGGGTCTTGTCTTCTGTGCAGCCCAGGACTTCCACACATACTGCCCAGGCTTGTGCCCCGGAGAAGTCGCTTTGGTTTGACTTCACCCCCAGAAGCTCACTCCATTGTCTCTCAAGACAGATGGAGGCCAACAAGTTCAGCAGCCTCTGGAGGACCATAGGTTTTTGTGGAGAGAATCAGAACTTACAGGGTTAAGAAGTTCTGAGTGACGTCTCACATTCTGAGGCGTGGCTTTGTCCACAGAGGGGAGTGTTTTCCATAGTTTTTTGTTGTTGTTTAGTCATTTAGTCGTGTCCGACTCTTCGTGGCCCCGTGGACCAGAGCACGCCAGGCACTTCTGTCTTCCACTGCCTCCCGCAGTTTGGTCAAACTCAAGCTGGTAGCTTCGAGAACACTGTTCCACCATCTTGTCCTCTGTCGTCCCCTTCTCCTTGTGCCCTCCATCTTTCCCAACATCAGGGTCTTTTCCAGGGAGTCTTCTCTTCTCATGAGGTGGCCAAAGTATTTGAGCCTCAGCTTCACGATCTGTCCTTCCAGTGAGCACTCAGGGCTGATTTCCTTAAGAATTGATAGGTTTGATCTTCTGGCAAGCCATGGGACTCTCAAGAGTCTCCTCCAGCACCATAATTCCAAAGCATCAATTCTTCGGCGATCAGCCTTCTTTATGGTCCAGCTCTCACTTCCATACATCACTACTGGGAAAACCATAGCTTTAACTATATGGACCTTTGTTGGCAAGGTGATGTCTCTGCTTTTTAAGATGCTGTCTAGGTTTGTCATTGCTTTTCTCCCGAGAAACAGGTGTCTTTTAATTTCGTGGCTGCTGTCACTATCTCCAGTGATCATGGAGCCCAAGAAAGTAAAATCTCTCACTGCCTCCATTTCCCCCCCTTCTATTTGCCAGGAGGTGATGGGCCCAGTGGCCATGATCTTCATTTTTTTGATGTTGAGCTTCCTCTGTTTTCAAGTTTAAATTGTTTCAGTGGAGATATGTGCATACCAGCCTCTCTCACTGAAACCTGTGTGTTTTTTAATTGCTTAACTTATGAATACATCTTGCCCAATTATTTATTTTAAAATATTATGGGGCTTGGGAGGAAAAATAAAACCCAATTACATGGGACTTATTCTCACTAAACGTAGCAATTACTTCTGAGTAATTGCTAAGTGTGTAAAGGTGCCCAACAAGACAGGTCCCTGCCCTGAGGATGGTACAGTCTAAAATGCAGTAGGGGAGAGACAAAGGGAAGAGATTCAATTCAAGAATTTCGCCCTCGATTCTGTACCTTCTTACCTGGGAGTAAAACCTACTGAACTCACAGTGGACATGCATAGGTTTCAACTGTTGATCTTAAATCTTACCAATGTGATTTTTTCAATCTTGGTCCAGTTGTTGTGTCAGTCTAATCTACCTCACAGGAAAAAAATGTGAGCGCGTCCTGTATTGCTACCCTGAATTCCTTGTGGAAAGAACAACTTACAAATGGGATAAGTTACATTTTGAGGGTCGTTACAGGGATAGTGGCTGGGTTCTAATATTTGTTCACCACAAGGCTGATTAACTGGCCTTGGAAAAGTCATTATCTCTGCACCTCGTCTGCTTCAAAAGCTTGGTGTTGCCGCCGCCGCTGTTATAAAAAACTACCCAGAGTTCCTTGAAACAACTTGGGGATTTAACACAAGAAGAGATCCACCAAGCATGCGTAAAATCAATATTTTCATTACTGCTGGCTAACTCTTTGCACAGTTCTTTAAGAATTGAATTTATATTGATCTTCTTCCAGAAAGAGGCAGTCGATAGTCTTCAAATGGACACATGAGAACACGTGATAGAAAGCAGGGAAGGGAATAGAAAGGATTGAAAGGATTTTAGCCTCAACTCCCACCCAACTACTCTTCACAGCAGCCCTAGTTCAGTTGACCTGTGAGTTACTCTAGCACATTTGCAAAGCTAAGCAGGGTCCTGTATGGTTTCAACTTGGAAGGGGGACCATGTGTTGAGATAGATGACCCTTGAGGTCCCTTCCAACTCCTACAATTCTGATGCGTTTAGGAATGTACTATACAGTGGTACCTCGGGTTACATATGCTTCAGGTTACATACGCTTCAGGTTACAGACTCTGCTAACCCAGAAATATTACCTCGGGTTAAGAACTTTGTTTCAGGATGAGAACAGAAATCGTGCTCCGGCGGCGCAGCGGCAGCGGGAGGCCCCATTAGCTAAAGTGGTGCTTCAGGTTAAGAACAGTTTCAGGTTAAGAACGGACCTCCAGAACGAATTAAGTACTTAACCCGAGGTACCACTGTAATGCCACAACCAATGACTTTTGTTATCACAGTTACTCCTGTGCGTGATCAATGTGGTTATTGTTCATATATTTCAAACTTTAATCAATTTTTTACAGACTGGAGTTTATGCGCCTCGTGGTCATTTGACCCCACCATTTGTGATGGGTTTTCTCTATACGTGTGTGTGTGTACCTGTAACATTTCATGCGTCTGGTGCAGTGAACTTGACCACTTTGTGCTATAATAAATTGATTAGTCTTTACAGCACCCCAAGACTCTTCCTTGTTCCATTGCAGCAGATTAAAACAGCTACCCCTCTGGGATATTGAATTTCATTGACGCAGAACATAGAATCAAATGGTGCAGGGTTTGTTCTTGGACTCTACCATTCCGGCTGCATGTCAGAGATTGCATTTTGGAGAGCTCTTGGGAGCAGAGAAGGAAAAATCCCTGCATGTAGAAAATCAGAATGTCAGGGGGGAAAGATTCTAAATTTCTGCTGGATCTTTTTGAAGTGTTTTCTGACCACCACCAGGCAAGGCACAGTCCACAGAAAGCTACAGTATATCACGTGGTTCTGTTGCACATGTAGATCAATTCCCTCATTCGGTGCACATCCTGGAAGTATATCAATAATGTTCTCCCTTTCTTCTTCTTCCTTGTAGCAAACCGTGTTAAAAAATGGTACAGAATTTTTTGAAATGTGGGAGGAGCCTCCGCCGCCAGTTTATATGCAGTTCTATTTTTTTAACTTGACCAATCCTTTGGAAGTGGTTCAAGGTGAACCTCCCATTGTGAGACAAGTTGGACCATACACTTACAGGTATTTTTTGCTTCATTCATTACTCCAAGACAGTTTATAAAGAGATTGTGCTTTGGGTCCCAAAACAAGATTCAAGGGATGATGGTGAAAGCAGGAATCACAAGGGTGTCAAAATGTCACAACAACTTGACCACTCAGAGAAGTAAGAAAGGAGCTGGTAGGTGAAGGATTAACTGTAGAGTTGGGATCTGTATAAGTTTCTAGCCCTCATGGATATAGAAAAAATATTGTATAAGTAATACAGTGGTACCTTAGTTGTTGAACTTAATCCGTTCGACTCCCAGAACTGTTTGAAAACCAAGGCGCAGCTTCCGTTTGGCAATTGGAAGTCACATCGGACGTTTGGTTTCCAAAAAACCTTCGCAAACCGGAACACTTATTTCTGGGTTTGTGGCGTTCGGCAACCAATTTGTTTGGGAGCCAAGCCGTTCGACAACCAAGGTGCCACCTGGTGCATTCTCAGAGAGCTTAAAGCAGTGCCGTCAACCTTTTTGCACCAGTGGGCACAATAAAAAAAATTCAAAAAGCGCTGTGGGTGCCAGTCAGAAAATGGCTGCCATGGGAGTGCGGCATAGTGCAACACGGGGAGCATGGATTAGGGGTTCTGAGCTAATGACCAGGGTGGAGAAGCTGTGCTGGCTGCGACACCAACTTCTGCCGTGAAGGCATTTAACTTCTGGTGAGATCTTATACCCTCTGGCCTTTGGCACTGTTTTACTAGAGTCAATGTACTGCACTAGGATGAACTGAGATATTTTTTTTAAGCTACTTTCCTCTCTCTCTTTCTCTCCTCTGTCTTTCTCTGCAGGGAACACCGGCTCCACGTAAATGTTCACTTTTTAGACAACGGCACAAAAGTGTCTTCTCTGAATCCAAAGACTTACTTCTTCGAGCCGGAGATGTCCGTGGGGGACCCGGAAGCTCATCTGATCAGGACTATAAACATGCCTGCGCTGGTGAGGTTTCTTTTGGGCAGCTTGCAAGGATTTTATTGTCACTTTTGTGCTGCTTTAATCGGAGACGCCCGTGATTGAACCTTATGCCTGTAAAGCACGGGCGGGGGAACTTTTTGTCATGCCAGGTGTTGCTGAACTGCATCTCCCATCATCCCTCACCATTGTTCGTGCTTGCGGTGGCCAATGGGAGTTGCAGTGCAAACCGGCAAAGTTTAGCCACAGCTGCTGCATAGAAAGTGCCTGTCACTCCTTGCTGATGGTTCCTGTAGTTTTAAACCCTCTGTGCACCCTACACTTTGATGGTGAGGGGTGAGTAGTCTCTTCCCTTTTAAAAATTGCAATCTGGCATATTACCAACATCAAGAAGCATCACAAAACAGAACAAATGCAATGAAAAGCAAATGGCGTTCATACTCCCTAACCCCAAAGTGTGTGAAATCACAGCCCTGTGCGTCCTTTCACAGCAAAATTACTCAGACAAATAGCTTAAACCTGTTCAGCCTAGCTCACACAAATCTCATGGCTATTATATGTAAAATTAAAAAAAAAAATATTCCAAGAACGGATCCTTTTTCTGGAGTGATTAGCCATGCAGGCTTCATCTACGGAACCGCCTCTCCTGGTATACCCCGCGGAGGACCTTAAGGTCCACAAATGACAACACCTTGGAGGTCCCAAGTCGCAAGGTGGTTAGATTGATCTCAACTAGGGCCAGGGCCTTTTCAGTATTGGCCCCGACTCGGTGGAATGCTCTGTCACAAGAGACTAGGGCCCTGCGGGACTTGACATCTTTCCGCAGGGCCTGCAAGACTGTTCCGCCTGGCCTTTGGTTTGGACTCAGTCAGACCCTTATGTTTCCCTCCCCTTATGGTTTTGATCTATGGGCTACTTTTAAAATGAGGCTGAATTTTAAATTGCATTTTAACCTGTATTTTAAATTGCTCCCCCCCCCTATTATGTTTTTACTGTAATTTTACTGGTGTTTACTGGTGTTAGCCACCCTGAGCCTGGCTCTGGCCGGGGAGGACAGGGTATTATTATTATTATTATCTGTGAGTTCCTTTTCTTCATTGCAGCAGGGACTCTACACTTGGTAGCCCATGGAGTAATTGATGGAAGCTTGCCTGATCTTCCTTTCTTTTTCCTTTCTTTTCTAAATTTGGATGGTTGATGCAAATTGCTTCCTATCAGGGAGGAAGACTCACCTGAGACAGGCTGGGCCTGCTTGTCAAAAATCAGATCGTTCTGTGACAGCAGCAAGGGTTTTGCCAACTATTTGCTGTTTATAGAGTGCTTATTAAGAATAAGATCTTACTGAACTGTAGACTTGAAGGCAATTCAGGGTGTTATGGGCCGGGGCTCTATCTTGTGGTGGATTGAGGAACTGCAGGCATTTAGGCATTCCATAGGCCAAAGTACACATTACATGGCAGGTGATGGGAATCTCACACATATTTTTCTTATCCTGAAAACAGCTGTGGAGCCATGCCTGGCATAGGGCTGATGGCGATGGCATTTAGAGTTCAAATGCATTAGCAGAAGTTGAGCTTAACCGGAACCCTTGCCTGGAGGGAGCACATTTTACCATTGGATGTAGTCACACTGAGACACTTGAGTTTAGTAAGATAATAAAAAAGCTAAAATGGTTAAAGGAAATACATGCTTGACAGAAAATAGCCTCGTTCTGTGTAGCCAAGGTGGAGATACAAAGAGGCATGCTTGCTCTTTCATCACTGCAGGAGAGCATAGCTGTCAACCATCCCTTATTTGGTGAGAAAGTCCCTTATCCCAGCGCTGTGTCCCGCTGCTGTCCCTTATTGATGATGTCCCTTAAATTTCCCGGGTTTCAAAGGAAGCAGCTCCTCTCCCTCCCTCCCTGCTTGCCAGGGAGGAGGGAGGCTCCAACTGTGTTGCTTGGCTGCGTTGCTCACCCAATAAGGAGTCTAAGAATGACTGGGGGGTGGAGCTTGCATGCCTTGTGCCAATCAAATCGGCCGCGTTGCCTGGGGACTCGCCTTTGCTCAGCGCTTCCCAGCGGAGAGGTGACGGTGGTTTTCCTTGCTGCATCCCCTTTGCCGGGTTGCTGCGCTGTGGGAACCACCGCTTGAGGCTTCGTTTGGCCGCTGGCTGGGCTTTCTGCCTTTGGCTCGGAGGGGCTCAGAAGTTGAACATACCTGTGCTTGGAAAATCCCTTATTTTGGCTGCTGATCCCTTATTTTCGAGGCTGCTGGTCCCTTATTTTCAAATCTGTAAGTTGACAGCTATGCAGGAGAGACATGCAAATAGGCCTCCTTTCCCAAGGTAAGGACAAAATAGGAAATGAGGTCGGTCACCCTAAGGGTGTCAGTCTGGCATCGTAGGAAGGTCAGTGCAGGTTAAATCAGAAATACAATCTAGGAAGTATGGAGGACCCCCTCTCTATCTACTCTCTCACCCCATGCAAATCCGCCAGTCTTCAATACAAGCTGAGTTGCACTCAGCACTTCCAAAAGATGACTTAACTCTGCCTCCCCTTTCCTTTTGGACTACCATCAGCTACAAAAGGGAAAACATGCATGCACTCAATGTGCAGTTTTACCCTAATGATGTCTCAGTAGCACTTTTCACAAGTTTAACATGTCTTCAAACAAAAACATCTTGGAGGTCCCGGGCCACAGGGAGGTTAGGCTGGCCTCAACCAGAGCCAGGGCTTTTTCGGCTGTGGCTCCGATCTGGTGGAACGCTCTGTCACAAGAGACTAGGGCCCTGCGGGACTTGACATCTTTCCACAGGGCCTGCAAGACAGAGCTGTTCCACCAGGCCTTTGGCCAGGGCACAGCCTGACTCCCTCCTTCGGTAATCCTCACAGAACTCTAGCCCAATGGTTGCCATCAATTTGATTTGAACTGTTTTTATAATGAATTGATTTTAGAATGCTGTATTATTTTACTGTTGTTAGCCGCTCTGAGCCCGGCTTCGGCTGGGGAGGGTGGGATATTATTATTATTATTTTAATATTATTTGCAATGGCCCCGTGAGCTAGGGTGGTGCCATTGTGTGCTCCTGAGAGAAAAATGACTTGCCTGTGGCTGCCTGCCTGAGTTTTATGGCCGCCATGAAATTTAAACCGGGGGCTCATGTTACTCGTTTTAAAACGTACATCCTGTTTTTCATTATAAAACACATGCAAAGCAGCTTGCAGAGGGAAGTTCTTAAAATATACAGACTACTTTTTTTAAAAAATAGCAGAACCAATTACTAAAATCGGTTCCCAATTTTCAGTTCAGTTTCATCTATTTCGGTTTGCCCAAACTCTATTCGTCCTCTCAGGTAGTCTGCTACTGCAGTACATCGACTCCAGTAAAACAGTGCCAAAAGTCAGAGGACCCAAGATTTTGCCAGAAGGTGGCGCCGCTGCCAGCACTGCTTATTCACAGATGGTGGGATGGGGGTGGGCAGGGAGCCTGTGGGGGCACCCAAACTTGGGCTGCCTGAGGCAGCTGCCTCACCCCACCTCATGGGTGAACCGGCCCTACACCCCCTCTAGATTCCATTTCCAACCAGTTCCTGGGAGTCAGAACTACGGAGAGTGCTCTTGTGCTTCAGTCCTCCTTGTGGGTTTCCTGCAGAAGCCTGGCTGGTCCCTGTGAGCTCCACATGTTCATAAGCTTTCCTCCTCCTCCATCAGGTTGCAATGAACATGGCTACAGCAACGCCCATGCGTTTACCTGCAGAGATCTTGCTCATATTATTTGACGAAAACTTGTTCACGACACGCACTGTCCATGAACTGCTGTGGGGCTACACAGACAAGCTGCTCAGCGCCCTACACAAATTCCGCCCCAGTATTGACCCAGACTTCGGCTTTTTTAAAAAGGTAAGGTTCTGACCGCACAATCCTACCTGTTCACAGACTGTCTCGCCAGAGTGGTGCATGCTCTAGTTATCGCCCGCTTGGACTACTGCAATGCACTCTACGTGGGGCTACCTTTGAAGGTAACCCGGAAACTACAACTAATCCAGAATGCGGCAGCTAGACTGGTGACTGGGAGCAGCCACTGAGACCACATAACACCGGTCTTGAAAGACCTACATTGGCTCCCAATACGTTTCCGAGCACAGTTCAAAGTGTTGGTGTTGACCTTGAAAGCCCTAAATGGCCTCGGCCCAGTATACCTGAAGGAGCGCTCCACCCCCATCGCTGAGGGCCTTCTGGTGGTTCCCTCATTGCGAGAAGCGAGGTTACAGGGAACCAGACAGAGGGCCTTCTCGGTAGTGGCACCCGCCCTGTGGAACGCCCTCCCATCAGATGTCAAGGAAATAAACAACTACCTGACATTTAGCAGACATCTGAAGGCAGCCCTGTCCAGGGAAGTTTTTAATGTGTGACCCAGCCAGATGGGTGGGGTACAAATTATTATTATTATTATTATTATTATTATTATTATTATTATTATTATATAATCCAAATTCAAGATCTGCTAGGGTGAGAGTTTTTGATTGGGTGGATTCTGAGGTTTCCTAGGAGAGCTGGCAAGAGATACACCAGCATAAGTTAGCCAGCACCCTGTCAGCTGGTATAAGCCCCCCTACCAAGGGGTGATCCAGGGATATGTTGGGGGCACAGCAGGGCAAGGAGCGATTTACACGTGTTCCAAACCCTGAGCTTCGAGGAAGGTGGTGCAAGTCACATTCCTCCTGAATGGAGTTTGGAATGGGCACGTCTGGGATAGCTCAGTCAGTACAGCATGTGACTCTTAATCTCTGGGTTGTGGATTTGAGCCTCACATTGGGCAAAAGATTCCTGCATTGCAGGGGTTGGAATAGATGACTCTGGGAGACCCTTCCAACTTTACAATTCTATGATAATTTGGGCCAGCATTTTATAGGTATGATTGCTTTGTTCCTTACAAGGCAAGGTCTAGCCTGTTCTCTTTGTTATTTGGAGCCTTTGCAAACATTTTCTCCCGCATCCTACCAGTCAAACGGAACAAGGCCTGTCCACTCAACCTTGGATTTTGCTTCAGACCAGCAGCAAAGCTTGCAATCCCAGTATACAATCTGCCATGCACCTGTGTTCAGAGTGCTGCGTATGGTCTGCGGCATCTTGAATAGGGTGGCTGAGGAAATCGGGGAGAAGGGTTTGCTGTTCTGTGTGGACACCGTGGGGCTGGACTGGCTGCAGCCGACTCTTCCCTGTCCCCTCCTTCCTTCATCTGATGTCAGATGAACTTTTATTGCCCACAGGCATCTTCAGAAGCCCCTTTCAAACTGTTGTTACAGTGCTTTGAAAGGGACTCTTCTGCGAGAAACGCTGATCCAGCAACCTTATGGCTGAGGCAGGTGCAGGGCCGCTGAGAGTGCCTTAGCTGAAATGTTCTGGCAGGCCAGATTGAGAGGCTGGGCAGGCCCAATTCAGTCTACAGGCCAGAAGTGCCCCAGTCCTCTCCCATCATAAGGCTTTGGAACCCTGGATGTTGGAGAACTTCACTCAGCGTCTGCAAGCAAACCAACCTATTTAGCACTTCCTAGCTCACTGATAGGGACGCGGGTGGCGCTGCGGGTTAAACCACAGAGCCTAGGACTTGCCGATCAGAAGGTCGGCTGTTCAAATCCCCGCGACAGGGTGAGCTCCCGTTGCTCGGTCCCTGCTCCTGCCAACCTAGCAGTTCGAAAGCACGTCAAAGTGCAAGTAGATATGTTGTGACGTGGGGTTTGTGATTTCAGCTCTCTTGACATAATATGCTGGAGACAGTTCTCTAGTAACACTTCTTTATTAAAGCAAACAAGACTGAGACTTGAGGAGGGGAGAGCTACATTTATAGGGACAGGGAACAAGCTAGAAAGGATACATTTCGGAGGGAACAATATCAGGCAATCACAGTCCTGCCTTTTGGAGGAAACCAATAAGACAGAGGATCCAAATACAGCAGCTTAAATGAACCAATAGTAGCTGTACCCTCTGGAACCAAAAGGCAGTTACTTTACCCTAATGCAAATACAGACAATAATAATACAGATATAAAATCCTTTGACTCAATACACAACAGATAAATAGGTACTGCTCCTGCGGGAAGGTAAACGGCGTTTCCGTGCGCTGCTCTGGTTCGCCAGAAGCGGCTTAGTCATGCTGGCCACATGACCCGGAAGCTGTACGCCGGCTCCCTCAGCCAATAAAGCGAGATGAGCGCCGCAACCCCAGCGTTGGCCACGACTGGACCTAATGGTCAGGGGTCCCTTTACCTTTACTTTTACCTTTACCTAGTTCACTGATACTCAGATTGGCATATTAATCTGGGCTGAAAAGGTTCCCAAGTCCTGTAAGAGGGTGAACGATCAGTTGTTTCTTTCCTGTCACTCCATCCCACCAATCACAAAAGCGGTCATGAAAGCGAAAGCTCTCTCTATCTATCTCACTCGTGTTTTATTTCTAGATGAACGGGTCCGACGACGGCGAGTACGTTGTCCTAAGCGGGGAGAAGAACTACCTTGACTTCACGAAGATCGTCAAATGGAGAGGGAAAGAGTAAGGTTTCTTTCTTTCCCTTTTAATTTGAGCGCTGGACTCCGTGGTTAATAATTCGCGTTTCAAATTTTGAAAGGCAAAGACGTGCAGAGCAAGAGCTCTTGGGCGATGATGGTGATGATTTGATAGAGGAACATCAGTGTGCTAAGCCAGGGAGCACATTTTGAGAGAGTGCTGCGGGTGCCCATCACAAAATGGCCGCCATGGCATGACACACTAAAGGGAGCACAGTCTTGGGGAAGCTTTCCCCAGAATTGTAATTCCATACCAGAAGACCTTTAAGCTTGTTGCATTTCTGCCTCAGAAATAAAACAGAAGCAGGGAAAAGTGCATTAAAGGAGAGGGGGACCCCAGCAAATTAGGACCCCAAGATTTTCTGTTGCCAGGTGTCCAAACAAATCAGTCGCAGCTCTGACTTCACCCATTGGCTTAAAACACTGGCTTAGTTCACGGAAATCACTTAGAAGGGTACCTGCATGTTTAGGTCCATAACTTTATTTCTAGGAGGGATAGTGTTAAGTTGTGGGTGAACATATCAGACGACACAGTGATTCTTCAAACAGCTCTTCTTTATTCACAGGCCAGGACAGAACTGAACTGAAAGGCTCAGTCAGCCTGCTTATATAGAGCTCCAGTACCACGTTACTGTAACAACTTTCTAAAACTATCCAATCACTGAATGTCACTTTCGATCCTTCATTTGCATAACTATCTACAGTATCCCCCTGCTGGCCCAGGGTGAGAACTTCGGTACATAACAGATAGAGTCTTACCTTTTTATTTAAATAAAAGCCCAAGGGCAGCTAAAGAAACTCTTTATGAGCATTGTGGTGCCCATGTGCTCTGCCTTGGCAATCCCCACACTAAACAAAAGGCTGGCCTTTGCCCCCCAAGAACTGGCAGCTCTAAATTTAGACAGGGGAAATGGAAATGGAGCTAACATGGGAGGAATCTGCACACATGGAGTGACAGGTGCTGAAGCTTCGTTTTAGTTGGGCATAAGGATTAAAGCAGCTATCCCCAAGCCCAATGCTCTCCAGTTGTTCTTGGACTCCGACTCCCATCATCCCGCACCATGGGCCGTGCTGTCTGGGGATGCTGGGAGTTGGAGTCTGGAGAACACAAGGGCACCAGGTTGGAGATTGCTGGACTTTTCAAAGGCTTGGTGGAAGGGGTCGTGTTGTTGTTGTTTTAAAATAAAAAGAGGTAGTTCTTGTTAGGGTTTTTTTAAAAAATAGAGGTGGCTTTTTGTCGGTTCTCTACAAATTAATTCTACACAGTAAGGGAGAATGGGCCACCTCATTGAAAAGAACAGGATGTCTCACTAAGGTGATAAGATTGAGGGAGCTGGTTTGAGAGGCAGGAAGCAGTAGATAAATATATTGGGCTATAAGTAAAAATAAATGAAGGGGGCAAGGCAGTAGAGATCTTTAAAGTTGAGGACAAAGAAATTATTCTGCATATGAAAGGGGATAAGAAGAAACAGAGATGAGGTTCTATCTGGGGCATGGGGAAGTGACTTGGGAATAATAGCCCTAGACTGTTTTATTTGAGGCTGCTGAAAAACACTGATTTTTCTACCTGCTCATAAGCTGTTCCTCCTCCGTATGTCTTCCCTCTGTAGCTCACTAGACTGGTGGACGTCGCCAACTTGTAACATGATAAATGGAACCGACGGTGATACTTTTCACCCATTGATAGACACTGGTGAAACCATCTACGTTTTCTCGTCAGACTTCTGTAGGTAAGAATGGTGGAAGGTGTTCGTATCGTAGTGCTTTTCCTACTGTCACAACAACACTTAGGAAGGAGCAGGTTCAAGCAGGCCACAAGGAAAGTTAACTAGTGCATTTCAGTGGAATATATGCGGCATCCTAAGCCCATAACGTGCTGGTAAACATTGCTAGCATTGGATTATCCTTTGTTTGGAATACGTGTAAATCGCTCCTTGCCCTGCTGTGCCCCCAACATACCACGTGTGTGTGTTTGGTCCACATTTGTGTGCTTGTGTTTGGAAGACGGAAGAGAGAAAACGGGGTGGAGAAGCGGAGCTGGAAGCAGCAAACAGGAGCTGGGAACCAGATGCCACAAACCAGAGGAATCGGAAGCCAGGAATACAAACTGGGAAGTCAGATCTTTAGTCCAAAGTCAGAGCCAAGGCGTGTTGCTGCCCAGGCAACGACTCAGCCCTGCACAGGAAGCTTTCATCGTTCTTTCTAATGAGGGGATGCCATGGCCAGCCTAGGTGGGTGAAGTCTGACTGGAGCCCATTAATCCATTGCCAGCCAAGCGATGCTCTAACCTGTAGCCTTGTTGGCTCACTGAGTAGGGCAGGAGTTTCCAGCTCGATGGGTCTGTGGCTTTTGCCCCAGGGGTTTCCAGTGACACAGGCCCTCCATTCACACCACAGCAGTCCTGAAGAGCGCACAGTGCGTCTTTTGTTTCCAATCAAAGCCCGCGGCAGAAGGCTTCAGGCTCTTCTTGTCCTTTCCAGGTCCATGTACCTCACGTTTCAGAAGTACGTGACGGTTGAAGGGATCTCAGCCTACCGGTTTTCGCCTCCTGAGACGCTCTTTGCAAACGCCTCCGTCAATCCAGACAATGCCGGGTTTTGTGTGCCGGCAGGGAACTGCCTAGGGGCAGGGCTCCTGAACATCAGCGCCTGCAATCAAGGTACGTGAGCCAAAAGGGATGCTAGGGCAGAACAGACTTTGCCAGCCCTGCACACCTCCCTGTGTCATTTTGCAGATTTGGTTGGGTTTTTGTGTGTGTGTGTATGTAATCTCTGACTCCTGGAAACCCCCAAAATATCCCGACAAGGACTGTGCATCCTCTGTGGGTATGGAATGCCGACTGACAGTTGGAGGGAGTAGGAAATGGAAACTGGGAGAGCAGGGGGCATGCAGTGGAGTATCCTGGGAAAGGGCATGACTGGCTGGAAGGAATCCTGAACAGGAGCCCCCCAAGGTGCCTCCCCTTGCTCCAGATCCAGATCTTGAATCTTTCCAGGAGCAGGGGGACAGTATAGATTTGGAACAGTGGTTTGCAGAGGGGCATAGCTCAGAAGGCAGAAGCTGGGAAATACTGGGTGGGGAACAGCTAGGAGAAGAAGCACTGGGAGAGAGAGGATTAACAGACTCAATTTCTCTGGAAAGCGTTCATCTGCTCAGCCCAAGGTCAAGAAGAGCAGATAAGGTGGCAGCACAGAAAGCACAGTGGTTGCAAGATCAGGTTACAAGACACAGTAGTGACGTGGGGGTTTAGGGCGGAAGTGGGGGTAACCCTTAATTGGGAGCACCTTCATTCCTAGGAATGGATTCTTTGTGATCGTTAAAATTTCTAACTGGTAAGAGACTCCTTTCTCTTTGTTCTGCTTGTTTACTGCCAAAGGGGAGGGGGGGAGGAAGCCGAGTTCCTGAAGCCTGACACCACTGCCCCCTGTAGGCAAAAGATTCTTGCATTGCAGTGGGTTGGACTAGAGGACCTTTGGGTCCCTTCCAACTCCGCAATTCTATGAAATACTGCTCTGGCACCAGTGAGAATTTTGTGCGCTGGGATGTCCCTGGTTCAGTTCTCACCTCTGGCTTGAATTCATTTGGTGGTCTGTCAGGGAAGCTTATGCAGGAGGGGGATAATGATGCTAGCCTGTTTTACAGTTCTGTCACAAGGCTCACCGAACGAAGGTAGAGACCTTTGAATGCCTAAAATGTGCCTTATAAATGCTAGCGCTTATTATTATTACAGCAGCTTCGGTTGATTAGTTATCTGGCTTTTTAATTCATCTCCATTATGTTAAAACAGTGATACTATTGATTATAATTATAATAGTGTTAAGTCCATGAGATTTAAAGGGTGAGCAAAATCAGGACACTTACTTAGCCCTACTTTGGATAAAAGGTAAAGGTACCCCTGCCCGTACGGGCCAGTCTTGCCAGACTCTAGGGTTGTGCGCCCATCTCACTCAAGAGGCCGGGGGCCAGCGCTGTCCGGAGACACTTCCGGGTCACGTGGCCAGCATGACATCGCTGCTCTGGCGAGCCAGAGCCGCACACGGAAACGGTGTTTACCTTCCCGCTTGTAAGCGGTCCCTATTTATCTACTTGCACCCGGGGGTGCTTTCGAACTGCTAGGTTGGCAGGCGCTGGGACCGAACGACGGGAACGCACCCCGCCGCAGGGATTCGAACCGCTGACCTTTCAATCGGCAAGCCCTAGGCGCTGAGGCTTTTACCCACAGCGCCACCTGCGTCCCACTACTTTGGATACAAGACTCAATTTATATCCTGCCTTTCTTACAGCAACCTGAAGGTGGTGTATATGGCCTTGCCCCTTTCCATTTTATCTTCCCAACAGCACTGCGAGGGAGGTTAGGTAATGGCTGGCCCAAGGTTTCACAGTGAGCTTCGTGGTTGAAGGCACTACACCACACGGGCAGAACTGTGGCTGTATGTCTGGAGGGAATTTTTAAAGGGACACGTGCCCTTTTCCGTTCAGTTTCTGACAGCTGTTGTTCTTACAGGTGCACCAATATTTTTATCACCCCCACATTTTTACCTATCCGATGATAAGTATGTCCAGGACATTGATGGCATGCATCCGAATCAGGAGGAGCACGAGACATATGTGGACATAAACCCTGTAGGTACCCCGCTCTGCCTTATAGTTGTTACGGTTTGGCTTTCAGGAAGGACCTGTAATAATAATAATAATAATAATAATAATAATAATAATAATAATAATAATAATTTATTTATACCCCGCCCATCTGGCTGGGCTTCCCCAGCCACTCTGGGTGGCTTCCAACAAAATATTAAAATACAGCAATGCATCAAACATTAAAAGCTTCCCTAAACAGGGCTGCCTTCAGATGTCTTCTAAAAGTTTGGTAGTTATTTTTCCCTTTGATATCTGGTGGGAGGGCATTCCACAGGGCGGGTGCCACTACCGAGAAGGCCCTCTGCCTGGTTCCCTGTAACTTGGCTTCTCACAGTGAGGGAACCGCCAGAAGGCCCTCGGCGCTGGACCTCAGTGGCCGGGCAGAACGATGGGGGTGGAGACGCTCCTTCAGATATACTGGACCGAGGCTGTTTAGGGCTTTAAAGGTCAGCCCCAGCACTTTGAATTGTGCTGGGAATGTGAGCTCATGGGACCCCCTTTCCTTCTCCTTTCAGGGGTGCTAGTTTTCTTTCCCACTTCCTGGTTTGCAGAAGCCACAGTTTGCCGTTGGCATCTGAATTGGGCAAACCATAGTTTGCCAATGACCAATGGTTTGGCTCCAAACCAGAGCTCGAAACGCAACTTCTGACTCTGCGGGGAGACAAATGATGGTTCAGAGAAACTGCCGTTTGCCAAATGTGGGTGTTGCCACCAAATAAGACTGGGAGAAAATCCTCTATGAAGGCTTGGAGAGTTTCTGCCAGTCAGTCTAGACTCTAGACAACGCTGAGATGGATGGGCCAGAAGCTTTATTTGCTGGAAGTCAGTTTTCTCTGATGCTAGGAGCAGCAGGTTGCTCACCTGTAGTACAGGCAACTGCCCATTTACGCGGGGGGGGGGGGGTATGTTCCGAGGCACCGCACGTCTATTAGGAACACCATTGGAAAAGCCTTCAAGCACCACAGTTGTTCTCTCCAGCTAGACTGGTGACGGGGAGCAGCCGCCGAAACCACATAACACCGGTCTTGAAAGACCTACATTGGCTCCCATTACGTTTCCGAGCACAATTCAAAGTGCCGGTGCTGAGCTTTAAAGCCCTAAATGGCCTCGGTCCAGTATACCTGAAGGAGCGTCTCCACCCCCATCGTTCAGCCCGGACACTGAGGTCCAGCACTGAGGGCCTTCTGGCCGTTCCCTCACTGCGAGAAGCAAAGCTACAGGGAACCAGGCAGAGGGCCTTCTCGGTAGTGGCATCTGCCCTGTGGAACGCCCTCCCACCAGATGTCAAAGAGAAGAACATCTACCAGACTTTCAGAAGACATCTGAAGGCAGCCCTGTTTAAGGAAGCTTTTAATGTTTAACAGACCACTGTATTTTAATACTTTGTTGGAAGCCGCCCAGAGTGGCTGGGGAAACCCAGCCAGATGGGCGGGGTATAAATAATAAATTCTTCTTCTTCTTCTTCTTCTTCTTCTTCTTCTTCTTCTTCTTCTTCTTCTTCCTCTTCCTCTTCCTCTTCCTCTTCCTCCTCCTCCTCCTCCTCCTCCAACTCCCAACGCTCCATGGGCCTCAAAGGACTCAAGGGATTGCAAGGCACTATTTTTGTGCCATTTTCGCAGCACTTCTAGGGCTGTTTTTGCTCCTTTTTGCGCCACTTCCGGGTTTGTGGTTACATGTGCCTTGAACGCAAATGGAGAGTTGCCTGTATTCAGGATTAACAAATTCAGCAAGCAATGAACATGCATATTGGTAGCCTCCATAAACGGCAGGAGGCATTGCAGCCCACGTGGCATGGTGAGGAAGCACCATAATTCAGTGGCAGAGCGCATGCTTTGAATGCGAAAGGTCCCAGATTTAACCTCCCAACATCTCCAGGTTGAGGATTTAAAACCCTGGCGAACCTCTGCCAGTCAGTGCAGGTAAATCTGAGCTAGATAGGTCAATGACTCTTCGGCTGAACGCTGTTCTCTGCTTCGAAGGGATGTCTCCTTTGGGCACCATCTTAGGATGGTTTATGATGATGGCAGAGGCTTAAAGGTAAAGGTAAAGGTACCCCTGCCCGTACGGGCCAGTCTTGCCAGACTCTAGGGTTGTGCGCCCATCTCACTTAAGAGGCCAGGGGCCAGCGCTGTCCGGAGACACTTCCGGGTCACGTGGCCAGCGTGACATCGCTGCTCTGGCGAGCCAGAGCCGCACGCGGAAACGGCGTTTACCTTCCCACCAGTAAGGGGTTCCTATTTATCTACTTGCACCCGGGGGTGCTTTCGAACTGCTAGGTTGGCAGGCGCTGGGACCGAGCAATGGGAGCGCACCCCACTGCGGGGATTCGAACCGCCGACCTTTCGATCGGCAAGCCCTAGGCACTGAGGCTTTTACCCACAGCACCACCCGCGTCCCACCCGCGGCAGAGGCTTAGATGCAAATAAATAAATACACTGTGCACACTTATGCACATCAATAACTAATTTCTAAAATCTTACTGAGTCACAATTCCTTTATTCCTCAGTTGACAGGAGTGCTGGTCAGAGCAGCCCGGCGACTGCAGATCAATACTTACGTTGAAAAGCTACCCGATTTTATGTAAGTACTCTGTTGGGGTTTTTAAATTTTTTTAAAAAATCAGTATAAGAAAACCATTAAAATGAGTCGTAAAGCAGGATAGGAGAAGGGGAACAAAGGATGTTAAATTTAAAGGTGCTGTAGATACTTGAAAAGAAGAATGAGATTTTTAGGATATTTAATTATTTAAACTGTATCGCTTTAGCATGTTGATGTTCCCTGGGAACAGGGATTGAATACTAAACCGCTCTGGGAATTGTAGCTCTGTGAGAGGGGAGAGAAGTCTCCTAACAGCTGGCAGCATCCTTAACAAACTGAAGTCCCCAGGATTCGTTGGAGGGAAGCAATGACTCGTAAAGGTAAAGGTAAAGGGATCCCTGATCATTAGGTCCAGTCGTGGCCGACTTTGGGGTTGCGGCGCTCATCTCGCTTTATTGGTCGAGGGAGCCGGTGTACAGCTTCCGGGTCATGTGGCCAGCATGACTAAGCCGCTTCTGGCGAACTAGAGCACCGCACGGAAACGCCGTTTACCTTCCTACCAGAGCAGTACCTATTTATCTACTTGCACTGGTGTGCTTTCGAACTGCTAGGTTGGCAGGAGCAGGGTCCAAACAACAGGAGCTCACACCATTGCGGGGATTCGAACCGCCGACCTTCAGATCGGCAAGTCCTAGGCTCTGTGGTTTAACCCACAGCGCCACCCGCGTCCCTTACAAAATGGCTCTTACAAAGTGATATAATAGTGTTTCAAAGGTCTGGTGCTGGTTTGGCCAGGGATAAGTGCAAGGGGAGGGGTGACGAGATCTGTGTGCTCCTCTCATTTCCACCCTCTGACCTTGCTAAGCCACTTCAAGCAGCCTGTGGCATGAGTAGGCGAGAAATTGCATGTGTAGAGAGGTGAGCAGCCTATTTTGGCATCTGGATAGGGAGAGCTGCCCTGCCAGCCGAGCCTCTGACTAGGCACCTGTGCTTTACCATGGTATTGTCAATTTTTAGCCGCACCTCTTGCACTCAGTACAATGGACGGGGCAGATACCGCGTTGGGAGAGCAGAGTTTCCATAAGCCTTTATCCACTGGGGTTGGGGGAAGCAAAGAAAGCCAGTCTCTGATCTCATAGTACCCGAGAGTGAAGTGGGAATCTATATCGTATGCAACAGTTCTTTAAACTACTTTTCCACCTTCTTTTAGCCAAACAGGCAACATCAAAACCATGTTCCTCCCTGTGTTCTACATAAACGAGGTAGGCGTTTTTGCAAAACACCTTCTGTTTCTTTACCGCTAACCCAGCGTGTTGTGACAGGTGGAACTTATCGGGGGGGGCATATACTGCAAGGAGAATTGTTGGAGAATAATGTGGATTCTGAAATCTCAGAAGCTAGAGCAGCTACAGAATAACGTTTACTTGAAGAGGGAGAGAATGCTTTAGTGAAGGGGTTAGCAAACTTTTTCAGCAGGAGGCCAGTCCAGTATTTGGGGGGGGGGGAGTTAAAATGAACGGATTCCTATGCCCCACAAATAACCCAGAGATGCATTTTAAATAAAAGCACACATTCTACTCATGTAAAAACACGCTGATTCCCGGACCGTCTGCAGGCCAGATTGAGAAGGTGATGGGGCTGGATCCGGCCCCTGCGCCTTAGTGTGCCTACCCATGCTTTAGTGCATGGATCATTAGTCTTCCTTGCCTTGATTGCCAAAAACAGAATAAATATGACTTAATCTACTTGCACGATGTGCATAGGTTGCGGATTCAGTTCTCTTCGTGTGGAATTTGCATTGCCTACGTGTGGAGCTCTACGAGGGGGGTGGTGGGTTACCGAACTTCCAGGAAGACCTTCCTCTGATGTCATTGTTATGTTACTCAGCATACAATTAGAGAGCAGGGAAGGGAAGGGAAGGGAAGAACACGGCTGCAAAATTCGAACTCCCCTGCAACAGCAAAAATATATTGGGTGTGGTCCTGAGAAAAGAAGACACTGAAAAGGTTCAGGGTATTAGCTTACAGATTTAGCTTAGGCTGCAGGGGCAAATTTACAAGTAGGAGAAGCTTGATGATTATGTAATTTGCATCCCGCTTAATGCCAGGATAGCCTCTAAGTGGATCACAAAACATAAAAACCACTTGCACAACGTGGGTGAAATACAGAAGGATTAGAAACGCAGCGTCATTAAAATTAAAAAATGAAGCAATCTCAATAAAATGTTTATGCCCACGACAAAAAAAACTGCAAGCCTGCACAAATTACAAGGTATTTTACTTGCTACAATTGAATGTGCCTTTCAAGCCGAATTTCCTTGTGGGAGGGATGGGGCAGTGAAGCACTTTGAGTTTCAGTGCAGCCCATCCCATTAACACATTAATGCAGTGATTAAAACAGCAGACTCAGATTGAGGGAATGCCTGTTTGAGAAGGTTGCCTCCAAGAGCCGGCAGAACGCCCATGCGGATGAGACCTTTCATATTTCAGCAGGGAGCTCATTCCACAGCACCAGTTGGAGACACAATCTAAATCAGCCTTCCCCAGTCTGCTTGCCCTCCTGACTTTTTTGACTACATCTCCCATCAGCCCCACTCAGGCAGCATAGCAAGTCCAAAACATCTGGCAGGCAGCGTGTCGACAGAGGCTGATCTGAATCATATTTGACTAGAGTCGTGTGGATAACAGAATGAATCTTTGTCTCTCTCCTCCCTGCCCCCTTTTGCTCCTCCAGAGTGTCGTGCTGGACAAAGCATCCGTGGCAAAACTGAAGACTGTTCTTCTTGAAACTGCGGTGATGACCAGCGTCCCCTATATCATCATGGCACTAGGGATTCTTTTTGGTGCTCTGTTCGTTGCGCTTGTCTGCAAGCCCTTCCGGGCGAGGGAGGAGGTAAGGTAGCGCTTGGATATGACCTTTTCCCTTTGCTTTCTGTACCTCTCTTGTTTTGTTCTTTTTTCATAAAAATCAAAACCTTTCCCTTTTTCTAAATTTTCTCTTGATTTTGACTTACTTTCTTCATGCAATCACCAGAAAGATTTTGTGTTTTTGTTTTATTCCTTTCTCTGTTGTGTCTTCCTTTTATTTGTTTCTTCCGAAATGCTGGTTCTAGGGCAGCGAAGGTTTAGTAGACACAGAGTAAGCACCTTTCCGCAAACGTTCAGCAGCTGTCTTAAGACACATGGTAAGATCAGCAAAGTCCATATCTCTTTCCTAATCCTCCTTCCTAGCTACAATCCTTATTCGCTAAGGAGAAATGGTTAGCTAGTGAACGCCAAAGTCTTAAGGTCTGTTTCGCACATGTGTGATGACTATCATTCATTGACTGTAATGACTTGCACATTTGCATGACTAATTAATTGCCAACGGTAGTTTTTTCCACATAGCCCAATATCAGCTCAAACTGGGAATGGATGGATCAGTCAATATATTCCCCATCTGTGGCAGTTTGCAATGCCCATCTTGTTCCCTTTTTGACTTAAAAAAAATCAGTATGAAGATCACCTTTGTATACACATTTAAATACTTACTTTATCACAAAATGTGTATTTTTCGCGCTGCGTGAATGTGCATTTTACCCTAAAGCACACATCTTTTGAGTCGAGAACTACAAACACATGCATGTGTGAACCAGCCTTAAGGTCAACACTCCTCGCTTGAAGGTCTTGGCAATCTCACTCCTGCAGCCCAAGCAATGTTGGGACGTTTAGGCTGCAGTTCTTACCCCACTTACTAGGAGTGAGCCCCATTGAATTCAGCGGGGCTTAACTTCTGAGTCGACGTAGTTTGAATGGCACCGTTGCTTGGTTGATTAGTCAAGTCGCCATGTGAGAGCATGTGTGTGCTTGCAAGAGAAAGCGAGAGAAGGGGATGCCCTTCTAAGGTGATGTCCGTTTGGACATCTGTGTGCTGTGGGTCAAGGCCCTAGCTCAGTGGGAGAGTATTTGCCAGGTCCCGTCCCCAGCCTCTGTAGGTGCAACTGCCAGTCAGTGCAGACAATCCTGAGTTGGATGAACTGTTGGTCTGACTGCATGAGGCAGCTTCCTGTGTTGCTGTGTTCCACTATTGAAGAAGAAAGTGAGTGTGGTCTTTTCCCCTAAGCTAGAAATACAGCTTTCCTCATGTGTGGATTTAATTCACTGACTAAAATTCTTCTAGTTCTACTGACAATTGACTGAAATAAATAATATATAATCCTAATCCTGTAACACCTAAACTAGATTTCTTTAGTCAGGAAGAGTCCTAGTTACTGTTTTCTTCTTTTATTTTTATATACATTTTCTTTCATTCCTCCTTCCCCATTAATAATAATAATAATAATTTATTATTTGTACCCCGCCCATCTGGCTGGGTCTCCCTAGTCACTCTGGGTGGCTTCCAGCAAAGATTAAAATACATTAAAATGTCACTCATTAAAAACTTCCCTAAGCAGGGTTGCCTTCAGATGTCTTCTAAATGTCAGGTAGTTGTTTATCTCTTTGACATCTGATGGAAGGGCGTTCCACAGGGCGGGTGCCACTACTGAGAAGGCCCTCTGCCTGGTTCCCTGTAGTTTTGCTTCTCGCAGCGAGGGAACCGCCAGAAGGCCCTCGGCGCTGGACGTCAGCGTCCGGGCAGAACGATGGGGGTGGAGACACTCCTTTAGGTATACAGGACCGAGGCCATTTAGGGCTTTAAAGGTCAACACCAACACTTTGAATTGTGCTCGGAAACATCCTGGGAGCCAATGTAGGTCTTTCAGGACCGGTGTTATGTGGTCTCAGCGGCCGCTCCCAGTCACCAGTCTGGCTGCCGCATTCTGGATTAGTTGTAGTTTCCGGGTCACCTTCAAAGGTAGCCCCACATAGAGCGCATTGCAGTAGTCCAGGCAGGAGATTACACGACAACCATGCAAGGCTGATTGGCCCAAACGTCTCCTTGCAATCTTCATGGGCTAAGTGAGAACGTGAACCCAGGTCTCCCCAGTCCAAGTTGAGTACTTTGGAGCCCACCCTAGTTTGAAAGTTGGCGGAGGGACACCAGAGTGTTCCAGGAGTCTTTTCCCCACTCTGCCTGTTGTGCGGGCTTCGTTTCTGAGCAGGTTCTTGCCACCGCAAAAGCGAACCTGCTTCTGTGTCGGTGTGCGCCATGCGGCTTTGCTTGCGGTGTCCATCGCGGTGGTGGGTTTTGTCCAAAATGAGAGGGGAAACAAGCAACGGGTGTTGTTCTGTTGCTGGCCGGACATCGGTTTCTCAGTTGAAACTGGAGGCAGCATTACCCGGTGGGATGGAGCTGCAATCACTTCCGCTTCCCGGAAGCAAGAGCAGAAAGCAGTGGGGAGGTCAGCACAGTGCAGGTGCACCAGCGGAAACCCTGGGTTGGCTCCACCAGTGCTTTCACAGAAAGCAGCAGCGATTCTGCTTCGCCAGGTGAACCCCTTCTGCCCTGCTTCTCCCTGTCCTTCTCACTCTGCTCCCCCCGGAAGCAATTTTACCTACTGCGCTTATGGGTTAACTAAGAGACTGCATGGAACAGGGGTTGCCAAGTCTTGTGGCCATGGTGATGGGTTTTGGGGAGTGGGGATTGCCAGTTGTTTACTTTTATGTAAGAATTTTCAGTATGCAAAATGTGTCCAGTTTTTTTGGGGGGGGCGACAACAGCTGGTTCTTATCATAGGAATGTTGAGGGTACAATTCCCAATTTGTCGATTGGTCGGGGAGGCTGGAAGATTTGTCCATAATTTGGATCCAAGATACATTCGAGGGCAGTACACTTCATCTAATGGAGAGTCATGTGATCTTGACTTACTTTCAGATTTCTCGGTTCGATGGTGGAGATGAAAACTTCCCCGCATGCAGAAATCTGACATATGAGGGAGGAGGCTAGACTTAAAAGCTTGTCCCTGGTGTGCTAATTTTCCACAAGCAGGGAGATAATTGCTATAACTGGATATTCAAATGTGTGATACCACACCTCCAGTCTGAAATGGTACAGTCTTTAGAACATGGTACCATGTGATTTATCGGCCCCATTAAGATGCACAACTTTTCAAAGGAAAACCTCTGACCAGGACATGAAAGATATCTAAGATCATTTCCCTAAAAGCCATATACCTACTGTATCATATCCCTACTGTAATTTTCCAAATATATGTGCTTGTGTGATCTCTTAAGGCATATACATAACACAGACTTCAACTAGTATATTGAAATTCTCTGCCCACCCCACCAAATTGTAATTCTGCGAATGGAGCCTGGGGATCTCTTAATACTCAGCACCCACCCTAAACTACAAGTCCCAGAATTCTTTGCAGGAAGCTGTGACAGTTTTACAGGTATAAAACCAAGACTTCTACAGTGTAGGGGAAGCGCTTGCTGTATTTGTCAGCCTTGGATTGCAGTATTGATACCTGTCAGGATAGCACCTTTCAGTTCTGTGTTTGTCTTTCCTACCTGTCTTAATTGCAGGCTTCCGAAGACGAGAGAGCGCCGCTCATCCGGACATCGTGACTCAATTTCCCCAGCAACAACAAGAACAACACTTTTCAGAAACGAGCTTAGTGATGACTGAACTATGCAAGCTGCTCTTAACTGCAACCACTACACTGTACAACAGTCTCGACCATCTCCCCTGCACACTAATATATGTTAACATTCTGTTTCGGGTTTTGCGGCATTCAGGAAGGGTTTGCTTTGTGAAAAGTGGACTGCTGTTTAAGAGCGGAGGTTGCGGTACTGCCTTTTCTAAAAAGCTGGAACAAAGGCAACTTCCGTTGTCTTCCGAGATTGCAAAAAGCAGCGTTCTAATATCCCTGTGTGGCTATAGACACTTGCACTGGTGTTCTCCCATTGACTCCCATGGGACTGTAGTAGTGTAGGTGTCTGTGGATCGGCCCCTTTTCTTTGCCTGTTTGGCGGGCCATAGGAGTTTGTGCCAGTTGCAATGGGTCCGTTTTTATTTATTAGAATCACTAGGTACAATCCTGTCCTTCAGTAACGACTTACTGCCAGCCTCTCTGACATACTAGGCATTTTAATTTCCTCCTTGTGTCCATTTTCACATTGCACAGCTGGGAATGTTTTGTCGGTCTAGCTAGCTCATGATCTTGATCCTACGATGCAAAGGGAGATCTCCAGCCTCCATCACATTTTTCGCGGGTATGGCTGCAGAAGTAACACAGTCCACCGTTGTACCATACTGCTCTGCATCCGTTGGATCAATTTTGGGATGGTTCCCCATGAATGCATACCTGTGAAAGTGACCTGGAGCCCATCTAGCAGCGCCACTTGGGAGTCACAGATACCTGGTCCAGTGGGCTATTTTAAAAAATATGTCCAGTTCAGCACCTTTTAGGTGAATTGGTGTGTCTTCCAACCCCCCCCCCATGCAAATGTTTCTAAAAGCTGGTCTGTGGATAGAAAATGTTCCCCGAGAGCCGGCTCTCAAGTATTTGATAAGGAACACTAAGGGAGTGCATTTGAATCAGCACACCTGTAAAGATCACTGATGGCTCTTTTTCCATGGGCTGCCTAAAACTGTCAAAGACAATTCTCTTGCATTCTCTGTGAAGTCTCCCTACAGACCAAACCAAGCCCTTGACATGCTACCTCGAAGGGGCTAGGAAATGCCAACGCTGTCCTTTTGCCCTCGACTCTGCCAGCAGGAGCCTCCCATCACTGCAAAAATGCTGAAAGTGCAGGCAGGTAGAAGCAACCACCAACAGCATCCTTGCTGGCTGCAGCCAACCTTACACTGCCCTCCCAAAAAACCCAGGCATTTTGGAATGGGCAGGGAGAGCTGCCTTAGCTGGATCAGCTATTGGCAATGGACCTGATCTCTCTCGCCAAGCCAGCCTAGAGTTGGTGTAACAACAACTGACAGCTTTTATTGCCATCCTGTTCTGCTGTGGCAGGAGGGCTCTGTATGCAGTGGTGGTTTTGCTGCTTGATTCAGCCCCGCTGCTCCCAGCCTGGAGTTGCAATTGCTTCCCTAGTTTCTTTAGACATAATCTCCGAATAAGCCAGTTTCTCAGATCTAGCAGCATGCAGCATTTTAAGAGACCTCTCAGTGAGAGGCATCTAGCTGTGCCAACCCTCCCTTCCTGTCTGCTTATCTAGAAAGAAACATTTGAGCCTCCCTGAGTGTAAAAAGGCACAAGATCATATTGTGAGATCTGGAAGAGGAAAGGGCTGCGTCGCCTAATGGGGAGTTTATGGCACCTGAATCAGAAGCCTATGGAAAAAGAGCTGCAATGTTGTCTTGCACAGGTGTGCATACTGGAGAAGAAGGGAAGAGTTGGATTGCAAGCTACCTTCGCTGGAGAGAAGGTAGCTCCAACCACTAGGTCAAACCAACCTATGTTACTTAATGACCAGCTGAGCCTCTTCTGAGAGGCCCAGCTCATTCTTAGATAGGTATAGCAAGCAACATAACCTACAAGTGTTCTGTACACTTTTTCTTCCTTATGTAATCTGCATTGTTTCTGGCATTAACTAAAATCTCATTCTGCCTGCTGACCAAATGCCCCATTATTATTATATTTAAAGATCTCTTATTGATTCTTCAAAGTAACATGGTATAACTATCTCCCCCATCCAAACGCCCCATTATTGAGTTGATTGCATTTCCCCCTCCCATTGGAAAAGCAATTATTACCTGAAGCTGCAGTAAGAAGGCAGTTTCCCCATCTATTTTTGGAGTGGTTCTCAAGACACACAACTTTCTGTCATTCATAGTGTTCACTAAGAACAGTTACTCATTTATTTTGGTTGTGCTGGTGCAGGAACCATAGAATATGTTGCTGTAATTCCTTTTCTGGAGCAGCCGAAAGACCCATCTGGTCCACTGTTCCATTTCCAGCGGTGGTTTCACCAGTGGCCTTCCAGATGTTGTCCAACTCCTGATTTCATTAAAGACCTCAAGTCTATGTAGGAGAAAGAGATGATTCTCCCATTATTAGAACCTGAGAGACATCTCATGGAGGGAAGCTGCCCCGTGGTTGGCCAATGGAGGCTGCAGGCATTGCAGATTGATGCGCATCCTTAATTGTTTCCTTGGAAGCTTGTGCAAATTATTTCCCGCGGTACATTTACAAAATTATAGCATGAACATTTACACTTCCAGCAGTTGGCAAACAGCATTGCTTAAAATAACTGGAAGGCAGCAGGGAGGCTGCTTGTATATATTTCTGAGGGTACAAAGGAGCAAAAGATAACTTAGAACCATGAATAGTATTAGTATAGTATTATTTCTGATAGATGCGCCTCTACAGCTAGGTCATTGGCTCAGATCACCTTTCAGTGTTCATTTATACCTTAAAAGGAATTCCAAGTTCTTGAAATTGCCCCTTTGATGCTGCCTCTCAGTCTTAGTATTATGGGGTTGAGTAGTGTTTAGGCCCTCTTAACAGCGCAAAGCCTCCTAGGCTGCTTAAGTTGTGTTATGTGGGAGTTGGGAAAGATGGCACTCCAGGTTCTGCTTCACTACGACTCAACGTGATCCCAGATTATTAGCCATGCTGGCTGGGACTGATGGGAGTTGGAGTCGCAACAACTTCCACAAGGCCACAGGCTCTCCTCCCTTGTTTATAGTGTCTGGTCAAGGCAGGGAGATTGCACACAGTACTATCACAAGTGGCTAAAGCGAGGGCTGTGCAATGTTTATAAAATACTGAGCAGCCCTCAGAAAAGTTCCTGTCCTGTGTCTCTAAATTTAGACAGAACAATGTATACAACAGGGTGGGCCAGCTGCTTGCTGTGAACGACTGAGTGAGTGCAAAGTTAGTGAAAGAGCAAAACTGAAAGTTCCAGGATCCTTTCCTATTTTTGGCTTGAGGGGTGGCGATGGTGACATTTGTGGGCACTTTCATTTTTCTAGTTGTAGTGGAGACCGTTTGCTTCCCTGTTAAATAGTTCTGTTGCAAGAAATGTCCAACAGTCTCCTGAAGCTGTGGATAAGGAAGCTTGTCATCTTCCGACAGAGGAGCTCCTAGGGGCTTTGGGATTTCCTGGAGCATAAATTCTCTTGTGGGCTGCGCTGACATAACTAATGGTTTGTAAGTGCTTATTTAAATTGCTCAGAGAGCTTCAGGTACAGAATATTTATAAGACTGGTGTAAGCCAGGAAGCCTGTATTAGGTCCATATATGATGTGGACCTAAGCTTGAGAGAGTTTCCCCGAGGCCACAACAATAGTTGATGACCAGTTTATCTTAACCATGGCACTGTAGAAGCAGTAAAAGAGCCTACTATCAAATCTCTCTTCAATAATACTACTCCATATTTAAAACATGTTTAGTGGTGCAGCCAGAAAATCTATAGGGACATGTCACAGTTGACAGCTTTTTAATGCAAAAAAAGAGAAATCTAGTATCAGGAGACAAACTATGGAAAAGATTCAGCTCTTATTTGGGGCAATTCTTTGTAGGTCAATCATGGTAGTTTCTCCAAAGCAAAAATAATGCCCTTTTTTGGTGGGGGGTATCTGACACTGACTCTTTACACTCAGCCCTGTTAGTAATGAACGAAGTGGACTGTTGTCATGTCAATGAACTGTTGTCATGTTAATGTGGAATATCACATTAAATGGCTTTTTTGTTTCATTGCCTTTTCTCCTTATTCTTGTAACTTGCATTTCTGAATATTTTTCTCCTAAGGAACATGTTTAGTTAGTGAATCTCCCTCTATGTAAAAAAAAAAACCCCAACCAGGCCTGTTCTAGTTCTGCTGCTTCTGAGAAAAGACAGTAGGGAATCCTGTCCATTTATAAGCTTGGCCAGGTGAGCAGATACATTCTTACCTGCCAGTTGTCCAGGTGACAAATGCTAAGAGGAGCCCTGCTGGACCAGGAATGAATACAGCCACACTCTGTCCATGGATGATTCCCACAACTGGGATTCAGAGACATGCTGCCTCTGACAGTGGAGGGTAGAACATCTAGTAGTTACTGATGATAGCCTTATCCTCCATGAATTTGACTAATTCTCTCTTAAAATTATCAAAATGGATCGCCATTGTTGCCTCTTGTAGGAGCAAATGCCATAGTTTAACAGCTATGCACCAGAGGCGAATTTGGGGCAGCAACGACCATTTCCATCGCTCTGGGCATAGAGCCTAGGAGTGTTGTAAGGTATCGCAATGAAGATGTACTCCACTAAGCAGGACGGAAGGCAGGGGCACTGAATTTTGGCCTCCGGCTCGGCGCCATTGAAATTGGAAAGACCAAAGTCTGTCCCTGTATGCACCGTGTGCTTTCTAGCTGTCCCAGAGTTCTGGGTAGTCATTTCTCATTAGTATGGCCTAAAACATACTTTCTGCAGTTTCCCTTGCCCCTGAAAAGGATCTTGGCATTACGGCTAGATTAAACGCAAAAAAGCTAAAGCAAAAGACCACAAAATCACTGAAATCACAATGAGGTACGGTGGCACCTCAGGTTACATACGCTTCAGGTTACAGACTCCTCTAACCCAGAAATAGTTCCTCGAGTTAAGAACTATGCTTCAGGATGAGAACAGGAATCGTGCTCCGGCAGCACGGCAGCAGCAGGAGGCCCCATTAGCTAAAGTGGTGCTTCAGGTTAAGAACGGACCTCCAGAATGAATTAAGTTCTTAACCCAAGGTACCACTGTATAGCCACGCAGCAGCAATAGAAAATACATTCTCAATACTTAGTGCACCTCACCCCTCCTGGACAAAGAGGCATGTGTGTTTACCTGCCAATGAAAGGAAAACAGAAATCTGGCTAGATGCACCTGAGAGGGGGAAGTCAGTTGGAGGTGTGCAGCTGCTACAGACAAAACCCTCCCAGTGATTCCTGCACCTCATTTGCAATATTGTCAAGTGTGTCCTTTGCAAACCTTCCTGCTAAGCATGCACCGCAGCAGATTCCAAGAGAACACAATGGTTGCGTAATTAAACGTGATAAACAGGTGACAAACGGGACCGGATGACACAGGACTAAACTGGCCGAGGCCTGAAACACACATCCTAAATCCCCTCACTGAGTCATAGGTTGCAGTTCCTTTCATCATCATCATCATCATTTTTAATTTGTATACCGTCTTTCTATCTTACAATACTCAAGGCAGTTTACAAGCTGAAGAAAGAAAGAATGTACATTTTATAACAATCCAGTGCAATACAAAAAGGTGATAATAAAACATAACTTTAAAATAGGCAACCTACATCAAAAGGTAGCATTCAACAATCATTAGAATAGTATTAAATAATAATAACATATGAAAGTTAAACAGAAATCCACTCAACAGTTACAATAAATAATTTCTAACTATAATCAATAAAACAACGGCAAGCCACAGTACATAAAATAATACAATACAAATTCAAAAAGTGGAAAAGTTGTTGAGGGTTTTTTTTTGGGGGGGGGACATTGTTAGAACCCCCCCCCCCAAAAAAAAATAATAATCTACATTTCCGACATGGGTTGCCCTACGGCCGACTTTCCCCATCAGGATCCCATCGGGCACTTCCCCTCCAGTCCACAAGGCGGAGCCTCTACCTTCCCGCAGCCCTCTCCCCAATTGGTGGCACTTCAAGGGCCGGTCTAGGAATCCGCGACGGCATCTTACGTCGTGGTCGTCACCACAGCGCCTCGTTGCCGGGGCAACAAACCAGCTCGAGCGGCGCTCTCCGGGCGGAGGCGGAACCTTTTTTCACCACAGACGCAGAAATATAGAGTGACGCGCCACGGCGATTTCAAACCGGGACCCCCGGTGCCTGGTTTCAGCTAGTTCCCCGCTCTAATTTTTCGACGCGAAATGCATAAAGGGGATTCGAAGTTAAGGGAGGCCGAAGGGCAGAGCGGCGGGTCCTTAGAAAACCGAGGCCGGCGCTAATATTGGGTTCCACTCTACACTTTTCCTATCTCTATGGCCTGGTCGCGGCCTCCCGCGTCGGGGTTGCAGTTTCCACCCGGACGACGGCGCTGAGCGGACCTTCCCAGGGTCAGTAGGTGCTGCCGCCGCCGCCGCCCGGGTTCCCTCATGGCTTTCAACTTCGGGCCAGCCGCCGGCGCTGCGGCCGCCCCAAACCCTGCGGGTGAGTGCGGGGAAGTGGCGGGGGGGGGGCGAGCTCGGGGGGGGCGTGGCCCTGGTCGCCCTGGCAACCGGGGGGGCGGGGAAGGGCAGCACCTGTTGAATCCCTGGCTGCCTATCGCGGAGCAGCAGCAGCTTGGGAGGCGCAGGGCGATATCAAGAGAGGAGGGGGTGGGAGGGAGGGAGTCAGTTTTATTTGTTCCAGCCGTAGGTCAGGACAAGCACGACAACACGCGCAAATGAACGCGAGCGCAAGGAGGGCGTGAAGAAGCAGGGCACAAAATGATGAGGCGCCTTAAGGTTGCCTGAATGTCCGCTTGTCGCAGGGTTTTAGAACAGGAAGGGACCCGCGAGGGGCTTCGAGTCCAAACCCCTGCAATGCAACTGTGTGTGTGTGTGTGTGTGCACGTACACACACACGCACACATCCCCAAAGAGAACCACCACCACCCCACACTAAAGAGGCACTTATTACTATTATTAATATCACAGGGTCTGTATAAAAATGTAGCTAAACATATCCCAAAGGAGGACCCCCCCACACACACAGAGAGAGAAAAGAGGCATTTATTATTATTAATATTAATATTAATATCACAGGGTCTGTATAAAAATGTAGCTAAACATATCCCAAAGGAGGACCCCCACACACAGAGAGAAAAGAGGCATTTATCATTATTATTAATATTAATATCACAGGGTCTGTATAAAAATGTAGCTAAACATATCCCAAAGGAGGACCCCCACACACAGAGAGAAAAGAGGCATTTATTATTATTATTAATATTAATATCACAGGGTCTGTATAAAAATGTAGCTAAACATATCCCAAAGGAGGACCCCCCACACACACACAGAGAAAAGAGGCATTTATTATTATTATTAATATTAATATCACAGGGTTGGTATAAAAATGTAGCTATATATATCCCAAAGGAGGACACCCCCCCACACACAGAAGAGACACATTATTATTATTATTCATTAATATCACAGGATTGGTATAAAAATGTAGCTATATATATCCCAAAGGAGGACCCCCACACACAGAGAGAAAAGAGGCACTTATTATTCATTATAATCACATTCATTAATATCGCACGGTCTATGTATAAATGTAACTATATATATCCCAAAGGAGCACACACCCCCCCACACACAAAAGAGGCACTTATTATTATTATTCATTAATGTCACAGGGTGGTTGTAGAGAAAGGCCAAGGGGCTGCAAAGTGTGGCTCTCTCACTGCCACGCTTCTAGAAGTTCCCATCCATTAGCAAAACTAGGTCTCTGGCTGCTGCCCGTCCTATGTTGCAGAGCCCCACAAATAAACATAATTAGTGCTAATTCCTCCAAAATATATAGGATTGTACAGTCCTGTGGCTTGGCTTTTGAAAAACAGGAGGTCCACAGTACTTAGCAAATTGAAAACCGCTGTGCTAGCCTCTTGTTGTCTGCCTGGTACTGTAAAGAGTCTAGTATATGACTGGCAGGCTGCATTTGACTTGGGAATTCACAAATTGCATGTTGATATGGACTGTTGTGATAATGTATGTGAAGCACTTTGAACAAAAATCCATGTCTAAATGCAAAGTATTCATATTAATCAGCATAGGGAGAGTGTAATTCTAATACGGAGGTTTGGGGAAGGGAACCACTATCAAGATTGTTAACGGTTCTTGGTCATTCATATCTACAAAATGTTAAGCCTAAGTGTACTGCTCAGCTCATTACTTCTAAACCCTTCAAAACGTAGACCATTCAAAACACCCTGCCCTCATACTGAGGAGGAATTTTTATTTGCATGTTTTTGGTGCAGAACTAATATTTGGCAGTGAAAACTTCATTTGTCCTATAACAGCAGAGAAACGCTCTTGTACTTTTTCTTGCTATGGCCTGATGTTTCTTCTCCCACGTTCTTTGAAATTTCTCATTTTTGCTAATCAGAATTGGTTTTACTGCTTACATGTTTTGTTTCTCACTAATACTTCCTTGCTTTCTTTTCTGCTTCCCACTCATCAGGATTTGGTGGGCTTGAAACAGCAAACTCCACTGCCAGCGGGTTTAATTTTGGGGGTTTTGGATTAACTGCTAATCCTGCAGTGAATTTTAATATTGGGAATTTTGGTGTGTCTACTACCTCGGCTCCACCATTCAATTTTGGTAACAGTCTGGCCAGTGCAGGTAGAGAATGCACACAAGTGGTGTTTGTAATTGCATTGTTGCTGGGAAGGGTCCAAGAATTTGCTTCAGGCCTCTGGGGTCTAAACTCATTCATGTGGCATTGTTCCAATAAAATCCATTGAAGACCTCTTTCAGTGTTTAAGGACTGGAGTAGAAGCAGAATACCTCTTTTGCTTTTATTCTTGTAGCTTTTAAAATAACGTTTGCATCGGACTCCTTAAATGTGTGACTGAAATGCCTAATTTTTCAAAGCTGTTTTATCACTGAAGTAGCTGCAAAGAGAGACTGCTCTGATCCAGCAGTTGCTTATGGGAACATAAAGCTTCACAGAAGGATGCAGTCTATGCGTTCGTTAAAGAAATGA